TATATTTATGAAATGGTGGTCACAGACCCTCTGCAGCAGCCACATGAACTGCAGATCGAACCTTTTTTTCCACTCCGGTACAGGCTCTTCGGAGAACTGTGCAAGTGCATGCAGCACACGTGAATCAGTTAGGTCGGCCATGATTTATGATTCTTTTTTTGGGAGAAAAATGAAATTTGGTGGTCTTCAAGGGTCAATTTCATGCTTCCTGAGAACAAACTGTCCAAATTGACCAAATCACCAAAAATCGAATTTTTATCGTGGCGATAAAAACGGTGTTTGCCAGATTTCAGATTTTTATCGCCACGATAAAAATTGGACCAAAATTAATAGATTTTTATCGTGGCGATAAAAATTTGATTTCCCAAATGTCCAATTTTTATCGCGGCGATAAAAATTTGATTTCCCAAATGTCCAATTTTTATCGTGGCGATAAAAACTTGATTTCCCAAATGTCCAATTTTTATCGTGGCGATAAAAATTTGATTTCCCAAATGTCCAATTTTTATCGTGGCGATAAAAATTTGATGTCCCAAATGTCCAATTTTTATCGTGGCGATAAAAATTTGATTTCCCAAATGTTCATTTTTTATCGTGACGATAAAAATTTGATTTCCCAAATGTAAGATTTTTTATCGTATTGGTACAAAATAAAATCCAATGTAGTTTGATTGATTGACGATTTGATCAATTGTTGCTTACAGGAACTACAACCATTTTTTTATCACGGCCTACCATTTTGATTTGCATGTCTATTGAATTGCGGCTTGGGTCATCCAGTCACCACCATGTATTGCCTGCAAGGGAAGTGACCGAGGTTGTGAACCATTTTTAAGGGGTGTTGGCTTTTGTATGCTTGACCAGCTACTACAGTGGAGAGGTATGCTACCAACCCTGCATGTTTATGATGGCAACCGGACAACCCCCAAAGCATGGGTGGATTATGCACCCGCTTAGGCAGTAGCCTGGTGTTGTTTCGACAAGTGAGGCATGTTCCCTTTGACAAATAATTACAACTATGTGCTTGAAAATTTTGTTGTAATGTTATTGCACAGGATTGACTAGAGATATTGTTCAACATGTGCTATTCTTCCAACATGCCATACTCATCTACTGAACGCCAGGATACCCCCTTTCTTCAATACACAACAATGATGTTTTTCAACAGTATGAGGATTGGAACAATGTATGTGTTCTATCTCAACCGGGTGCATCCTACCCAAGTTTCACAGCCAGGCAGGCTTACGCTGCACATGAGCTGCTTAAGTAGCTGCTACTTTCGAGGGCAGGGTGAAATCAAATCCACATCCATCATGAATATATAGATCTAATTTGAATCTCTCCACAATGAGTGACAATTCAAACATGTTGTGGTTTTTGTTTTCCAAATCCTTTAGATATTCACGATGCATATGCTTCACATGCCCGCTGTTGGAAGGCCATCAGAAATCATCCAAGGGTGTATTAGGAAGTGCCCTGCGTAAGTGGCTAGTATTCCCTAATTTATGGGGTCCCATGCTTGCACCATTGTTTCTTTCACTTTCCTTTCTGGCCTTCGACAACTGCCCGGGCCACGCTTGCTAAGTCTGACACCGCAGACATAGCCATGCTCCAGTCAGACTTGCTGCCGCCTTTGCCCTTGCCACCCTTTGTGCCGCTTCCCGGGGTTCTCGACCTTGTCCGTCCTTGCCCATACCTAGGAGAAGAGAATTAATGGAGCTGGATGCAGGGCCAAGAATGATTTTGTGAAGTGGCTCGCACAATGTTAATCATGTCAGGATGCAGGGCCAAGTGTGATCATTTCAAACAGAATGATTATGATTTGAACAATGTTTGACTTCAAGAATCCGACCTATGCTAACTGACAGCCAAGTTGCGGGAAGAACTCACCGTTCACTGCACGGTATCCTCCGCGGCAGTACTCGCCACCCCATTGGTCGAAGTGGCCTTTTCCCTTCCCTTTCTTGCCGCCACCACCACCTTCGCCCTTCTCATGCCACTTGTATCGCGACCACCATGGCTTTCGCCCTGCAGCTCCCTTCTTGCCACCGCGGCCTTTGCCTTTCTTCCCTTTGCCCTTCTTCCCTCCTCCCGTGCCATCGCCGAGAAGATCCTCCTCCTGATCGTCTTCCTCCTGTGGAAGCTCTTCTTCCTCACGCTGAGGCTCCTCCTCCTCCTTCATATCTTCTGCATCCTCCTCCCCCGGCGCCACGTCGCCACCATCCTCCCCATCATCATGCTCCTCCTCCTCCACCTTTGCCTCCTCCTCCTCCTGCGGAGGCGGCTGGCCAGCCACCCAATGGTGGGTCGACCAATCGCCATACTCCCTGCCCTTGTCGGCCTTGTCGCCTTCCAGCAGCTTCAGAGCAGCGCCAGGCTCCTCGTACTCGTCCTGCTCAGTCTCCTGCTTTTGCCTCTTGGCATCCATATGCAGCAGCACGTTGGTCTTCGCCTTGATGTTTCGCAGTTCTCGCTCTTGCAGAACCGTTCCAGCATCAGGCGCCCTCTTCGATCCACTGCTCATTGCCACGGCCCCCCTAAGGTCTAGCAAGGTTGTTGGAAATGTTGCAACATGAATCAACATGATTATTTTAAGTTAAAACTTTGGTTCCAAATGTTTTTGGTGTGTGTATGTAATATGTGTTGAGTTGGTGACTACTGTCGTTGCTTTGACATGGAAAATTTGCGTTCAGGTCTCCCTCAAAACCTAACGCGCCGATCGGGTGAAACGGGTGAAAGGATGCTGTTGCTGCGCTGTTCTGATTGAAAAACTGAAATGGTGTTCAGTGATACGCCAAGTGGTCAATAGCTGTTGGCTGCTCATGACTAATGCTTGGCATAGTCAATTCTCAGAGCTTGCATGAAAGTGGAATGGCATTAAGTCAAATGCGCTGCAGCACTGCAATGACGTGCCAATCGGCTTGCTGTGGGTTGAGTTAATGCCTACCGGCATGCTGTGTGGCCATGGAGTTATATGGAAAATTCACTCCGTCTTGAACCGCGGCGTAGAACGGATGGAACGATTTGTTTCATGGAAGATTCAGAACATGAAGAGATTCAAATCAATTTGAAAAACTTCAAACCCATGGTGTGTTTGCAGAGCCTGTGCATGCATGGCCACTGCATGGTTTGAGATGCCTTCGCACACATGACATGCCATTTAAAGTCCATGGTTTCGATTTGCACTTGAACATGAATGTGTTTCAGTGTTGGCCATTCACCCATATCCGCAGCAAGTCCATTGGGTTCCCAGACTATAGCACTCCCCCAATGGCCAGGGTCTTGGTCTAGGCCTAGAGCGGTGCAGTGAGGTCACAAAAACTATGGTTGCTCTTGGGTAAAAAATGGAATGACCAGTAGGGCGGCTGGCCCTTCATATGTCGACTGTGGCTCCACAGATTTTCAAAAATAATGAGGTGGTCACGAAGCATGCTTGCAGGCACATTGAATTCTGATTCAAACTGACCCAAAACGATTCAAACAAAAAACTCTTTTGCGCCATCACACATGAAATGCAAAATGCTACCATCCCACAGAGTGAAAATTTCAAAAGTACCAGTTCATGGTCACACACACTGGCCACTTTACATACTACATTGCTAAGCTCAGTCAGAACGCTCGTCATCGAAGCGCTGACGATCAGGCTGCACTGGCTGCTGCTGAGACTCGTCAAGATCTGTGGAGTTGACCTCATCGGCCTCATTTCCATAGGGAATGGTGTCGGGGAAGGTCTCATTGATCTGGACATCGGGTTTGCTCTTGGCCTTCGATTTGGCCGCGGTCATTTTGGCGGGGGAAGAGCCACTGTTGATGTGGGCTGCACGCTTCAGGCGTTTCTTGGGCGACTTCTTTGGGGATCCTTTCTTCTCCTTTTTCTTTCTGGGTTGTTGGTGTCCTACCCCATGCTTGACCATCGCCTTCATATAGTGCAGGTTAGATTCATTGAGCTCTAGCCATAGCTCCTTTGACGTGACACCCCACAGTGCCTTGGCTGGCCTGGACAAAAAGAACTCGTTCTTGGTCTCAAGCTCCGGCAACTGGATCTCCACACGGGGGTCCACCAAGCACCCATCCTCCACTCGGACCCGCTTGGACCTGTGCTTGGGCACTGAGGGATCAGCTGGGTTGTCCTGAGATTCAGGCATCTCCATCTGCTGCCTTGCAGATTCCTCCGAAGCCCGCTTCCTCAACTCCAACAGCTTGTCGAACAGCAAGGAGTTGGCAGACCGTGCCACACCTTTGGACAAGTCCATAGGTTGGCCCAGTGCGAACAAGACAAACTTCCGGTCGAATTTGCTGAGCTTGATGAAGTTGTCACCATTGCGAGTGACCACTTCTGGATACCACGTGTCCAGCTTGTGAACAATTGCCCAGTGGCTCTCGATCTTGAAGCCAGGGCTCGAATCCACCTCACTATCCGAAGGTGCTGCCGATGAAGCTGCCCCTGCCATGAACTCGAATGGTGAAAGTTGCGAGCCAGCGTGGGCCCTGCAAAGTATGCGAGCTTGATCAAACAGCCCTGCCAGAATGATCGGTATGAACCATGCAACTGTCCAGCAACTGATGGTTTGAATCGACATGCATGCAGCTGATGGTTTGAATCTGACATCATGCAATGAATCTCACATGATGGCTTGAATCCAACAGGATGCACTGCTGGCTTGAAACTGACATAGTGTGTGCATCGTGCTTGATGGATTCCCTTCCCAAAACTCTGGGTGACCCTGCGGCAGACACTGCATTCCCCTGACAAGGATCCACAACATGATTTCAAAACACTCTTGTTCCAATCTGTGTCGATTTAAACGATGTGGTATGATTTCGAAACAATGCCAATTACATTTCAAGGCAGGGCCACATGCGCTCGCCCGAAAAAAACATTTTGCAGGGCAACAACTTGTCATGGTGTTCTCAATGTTGCTCGCTGACGGAAGGAACAAGAATGCAGTGAGGTCCCAACTGTTTTTTACCTCAAAAACTTCAAGTTGCCTTGACATGGCTCACGGTGCTGGAGCCTTGGTCCTCTGGCGCTTCGGCTGAGGGACTGCCCCGACTGGCACCAGAGATTCAGGTTCCTCCTTCTGGGGCTTGGGAACAAACAACTTGAGCTCAGCGGATGCATCCAAGGCAGAGATGTTGTACATCAGAGGGATCTTCACGCTGTTGTTCTCCTGGTCCTCTGCGATCACCTTGCGAACTTCCACATTCGCCTCAGACTCTTTGTTGGTTCGCTTGACCATCCAAAATGGGCACAGGAACGAGCCATCGAGATCACCATCACGCTTTGGAGGTACATAGCATGGCCACAAGTATAATCCGATGTCTCGGATGGTGCCCAAGGCCAAAGAACCGGGACAGGCCTTCCTTTCAATTCTCGAAGTGCTGGGAACCAAGATAAGTTTGCCCTTGGCATACTGCTTGGCCGTGAAAACCGTCTTGTAAGGCTTTGTCTGCAAGACCAGGCCTTTGTATGATGCCTCGTGCTGAATTTCAAGTTCAATCAGCCTGCGGCTGACCTCCCCCTTGACACACATGAAGTTGACGGTGTCGTTTGAGCAGGGTCGGAACACATGAAAGTTGTCCCAGCTATACTTTTGAATATCGGCTTTTTGTTTGGTGACCTTCCATTCACCCTTGAGGAATGAATCGATTGAAATTTCATAGCTGGTGCACAAATCGCCTTCGTCAACGCTGAGTTGCACCAGTGAGCCTTGCATGCTCGTGATGGTGGCCCGGCAGGTGCCACGAAGCACATTGGCTCCTACCTGGAAACCCATCTGATTGACCAGCTGGCATGGGTTCTTCAAACGGCCTGTTTCTTATTCATCTAGGAAAACGCAGCTCTTTGCAAGATCTCTGAAAAAGGTCGTCGTCGTCAGACCACTTCCGAAAAAATTAAACAAGTGAAAAACGCAGACGTAAAAAGTTGAAGCTGACATGATTCACACACGGAAAACGCAGCACTCTTTTTCCAAGCAGTTGGGGAACGTCGTTGTGCCCGTGCTCGTACGGCAGGGCTAGGCTAACTGCAGTGGCAATTGCTGGGCCACGACCCCGGCTTGAGGGGAATCAGCAGTTAAATTGTCAGAATACCTTTCCATGTACTCATTCCAAGCAGCCCAATTGACCGTGGAGACGGAAGCGTGATCTTCCGAGGTCAAAAAGATGAATATGCCAAAATCCATCCAGTCATATCGATGCACGATATAGGTAACGACCAACAGCGGAAGTTGAAGCAACGTGTAGCTGCGGTCTTCGTCAAAAGGGAATTGTAGGACCTTGAAAGTCTTTTGCATGTCAGAATTGGAATCTTCGATGAGATCCTGCGATGGGTCAGATATGACCATAGTATGGACTACGTTGGGCGGTGGTTGGAGGAAAAAATTTCCTCACGGGTTTGGACCAAACTGCCCGGAAAATAACAGTTGTCAAAACCCCGGATCACATAACAAAACTAGGAATAAGGGGGGGAAAACCGCAGGTTTGGGTGGGTCTTCACGCTCTGGAAAACACGAATGTTCCCACCTCACCCTCCCTTAAACCAAGATGTTGAGGATACAAACCTCAAATGAGATTTCATGTCCATACATGTATGAGAAAACAGTTCAACATGAAATAAAGAGGACAGGTAAAACACCACCACTCATGGAGTGCGCGTGGTAGTGATCTGCCGACAGAAATTGCAAAACACAGAGCTGCTAATTTTTTGGCATAGCCAAAAAAATTTTCCTTTATTTGAATAAGGTTTGTATCCTCCTTTCAGGAGGAGTCCCAACTTATTCATCTAGGAAAAACGCAGCTCTTTGCAAGATCTCTGAAAAAGGTCGTCGTCGTCAGACCACTTCCGAAAAATTAAACAAGTGAAAAACGCAGACGTAAAAAGTTGAAGCTGACATGATTCACACACGGAAAACGCAGCACTCTTTTTCCAAGCAGTTGGGGAACGTCGTTGTGCCCGTGCTCTCCCCATTCGAAAAGCGCACATCAGAGAAAGCTCTCTGGGATGAAGTCCCAGTCTGCCTTCTCTTCCGTTGGCCCCAACTGCAACAATTCAGTGCAATCCATACGGCTTAGACCGTTGGATACGTTTGAGTGACTCGGTACCCAGGCGTACCAGGAATTCAGCTTCAACCTTCTTTCGTCCTCCATGACATGTTGCACTATGCGTCGCCCGAGTTTGGTGCCTCCGTAACCTTTGCACAAGGTTGCCCTGGCGACATCGTTGTCTAGGTAGAAAACAACACGGGCCAACTGCATCGGCGTCTCCATACGCAAATTGCAACGTGTATGGGGTGAAGTTCCAATTCACAAATTTGGTTGGAAGATTCACTAAGTGCAACACGCATGAAGTCGCTGGGAAAAACATAAGGAAAAAGTTTGTGGCATCGTCCACTTTGGCAACAATGATGCCCCCTACGCTTTCAAACCGATCGCTTTCGCCTTCGCAAGCTCTGTCGGTACAAACAATCAGGATATCCAATGACACAGGAATCAGCTTAAAAGTTTCGGCTTCTGATACTCTCCTGGCCAAAAAGTCAATGGCTGTAAGCTCATGAGTTGCCACCTCAACCACCTTCCGTTTTTCCAAAGCAGTCTCTCCAAGTATCCGCAAGCTGTGCTGAACTAAGTCATACGTTCTGCCGACGATGTCATCGTCATTGTCATCACCAGGGTCGGTGCATAGCCAGCTCAAACAAGCAGCTATTTGATCAATTGCATGAACACGCAGCTCCTCATTTGTTCCATAGGCCTTGTTGTATCCACCAATGGCGCAATCGTCGCTGGTGACATCACACCACACCCACTGTTTTTCAATCTCCTCAAGAGCGCTTTCCCATGTTGTACGCACCAGCTTGTCATCCGAAGTACCATTTACCTGCCCAAAAACCATCTGGTTTACACCTTTGGCCGCACTTCTAACCATGTCAGCCGTATACTCAGGTTCTTTGGTTTCCTTTGGAAAAACATTTGACTTGCTTATCCAACCATGCAACGTGAGGCCGCTGGCTATCTCGTCAACAAGGCTGTGGTCTGGGTAACCCAAGTCCTTTAGGACTTCTTCTAACAGCAACAAGCGTTTTCCTCCGAGGAGATACTGCAGGTGAGGGGCAAGTCTTGTTCGGAATTCCATTTCCTCATTGTTCAACTCTCTGGCACGTTTGCTCCACTCCCACAAAAAGTGTAGAGTGTTCGCCGCTGCCTGTGCAGAGTGTTCACCGCGGCATGTATCATGTTGGTTTTCCTCGCAGCCATCATCGACCCGAAAAACTCCCTGGTGAAAAAGTCGATGTATGACAAGTTCAGAAGCAAAAAGCTTGAATTCGCAGCCCCCGGGCGACATGTCCAACAAGATTCTGTGTTGAGACGAAGGTGCATGCTGTGTTTGTTGCTCAAGGTTTTTAATTTCAACTGCTCCCATGTCAATCACTTTGATCTCTGCAACCGCTGCCAACCGCGCGCACAGTAACACAGGGTACGCTACTTCCAAGTGAGTGGGCAAAAGAACTTCGCCACTAACAAATTTTGCATTCCACTTCTCATGAAAAGGAGACCCATCACAACGGGCAGCCAAACACGCGAACCAATCAAAACTGCTCCACCATGCTGTTCCCTTTTCCCGCGCACCACCACGGCAGCAATTGTCGAAGTAGATCATGTGATTCCCAGGCTCCACCAAAAGCAACATGACCACAGTAATTTTCCAAAACAAAGAATTTTTTGAATTCTTTATTGGCACCGCAATTGTGTAGCTATGGCACAGCCTGACAAGTAAGCAAGTGCTGTCACATGTCATGTTTGCAGTCTCGGCCTTAATCTTATCAGTCCCAGCAAGGCCATCCAGGCCTAGGCGTTGTTTGTCACTCCGAAGTGTTCGGGGCACCTTGATTCCCATATGTGCCAACTTTGGTAGTGGCCTTCCACGTGCCCGCGAGGCGGCGCTCCATGATGGCGCAAAATGCGCCCATAAAACTTGATGATGGTGTTTCGAAATGAAATCACAAAGGCCTTGAAGTTGATCAGGATTATTCAAGTCATAACATGCCACATGCACTGATTGCACACGTGTGCTGTATTTGTCGGCAGCCATAGCTGCCGTGCCAATGTCTCGTATTGCTAGGGTAAATCTGGCAGTGCCCGCAAATATTTCAAGCACCATCACCTCATCTAAACTGCTACCACAAAAAGTTTTTGTCTCGGCATCTTGGACGTCCGAGGGTGGCTTCTTGTCCGAAAATGCGTACGGTTCTTCTCGAACTTTCACATCAGAATGGTTGTCTAAGACATTCTGTTGGCCCGCATCATCAAATGAAACAAGTGGTCCATATTGGACCGATGTTGGTGATACTTCTTTGGCATCCAAACTCGGTTGCTTCGATGCCTGCTGTGAAACCTGTTGCACTGTAGCCACATCACATGCACTGACATTTCCACGACCTTTGCTCTTTATTGCTCCCTTTGTAACTGTCTTGAGTCAGGATTTCTTAACACGACACGTCACAAGGCTGTGGTTGCTCCTCTTGCATTTGATACATATATGGCTGCCCTTTTTGCAACGGCCGTCTTTTGTCTCTTCGCTGCATCCTTTGCTCATGTTGAAAGCCCAGCAAATGGGTTGGCCGTTATCATCAAATTGATGATAACCCTTCAGCTCTTCAGGGCAACTTGCTTTCGCTTTACCCGACGGCTTTGCCTTTTTCCTTGGGTTGATTGGCTTAGGTGGTCCCATCCCAGTCTTTCGATTTCCATCATCTATTGAATGGCTCGGTGCCGCTTTCGTTGAGCTTGAAGGCAAAGGTAATAGGTGCATACTGATGCGAGGGTCATGAGAAAGTCGTACCATGAGGATGTCCAGCGGAAGCTCACCTTTGGGTCCGTTGACAAAAGGTCCAGTGTGCTCCTGGGCCATCAGCGTGAATAATTCTCGGTCTGCACGCAACACTTGCTCCATTTGTACTTTGGAGTATCCACTAGGAGCTTCACGTGTAAGTTGCATCAGTAATGACTGCACCCACTTGTCATGGACTTCATTTGAAATGAGCTTGCACTGATCAAAGGCCAGCCCCCTTCTTTGCAATGCCCACTGCATGAGTAGCTCATTCGAGGTGTCTGCTTTGATCTTCGGTTCTCCTGCTGAGAGCTTTAGGGTCTGCTGTTCAACTGTAAGCGTTGTAGGTTTGTCTTTCAGCGACTGCTGAACTTCTGCATCTCTCTTCGTGCACTTGCTGGGCGGTATCCAAACTATGGACCCGCTGTCTTGGATCCCTGCCACCAAGTCGATGAGCGCGTAGGAGGGTTGGAGCTCCCCGCGGATTGACAAACCTTTCAGTCTCTCCTGCTGATCGTTCAGTCTTGCCACCTTCTCAACAGGTGGTAACTTACGACCTCCTTCGGCCCCTGCATCGACTGAAACATTTGTTTTCAAATGCGCCACAACCATTGTCACCGCTTCAAAGCGCAAACGCCGTAACAGTGACATCAAAGTAACTGAAGGTTCATTGCCACCATTGACCTCTGTTGCAAAGTCCTTGAACGCTTCTTCAGATGCTGGTGTCTGAGGTGTTCCAATCGCAAAAGCCAACCGCATGAAACTGGTAAGGTTTGCACCCAGGCATAGATTGTAAAGTTCACGGCTTTTGTCAATTGCGTCGCAGTGACTTGCAAAGGCTGCTTCGGAATCCACCAGTGCCATAGCGCTAGCCCTGACCGAAGTCCCTTCTACAAGTTCCAAAGCACTGCAACCCTTTCATTGACATGTAAAAGTTGAGAAATTGATTGCAGTTTTGACAAACGAATATCAATGCCTGAGGTCGCAACAGTCTGTCAACTCTCTCTTGCTGTGCACGTGAGAACACATGATTCTTGCAAGTCTGAGTTCAAACTGTCTATAACCGGAAAAATCAAAAAGAGCCATGAGATAAGACTGCATCGTTTGCCATTCCTCTTGAACCTCTCTCTTGCAGTGCATACAACATCATTGTACTGCCTTTGCAAGTCTGAGCAACTCAACCTTGTCACCCTGTGCCGCGATTCACACTGATGAATGAGTTGCCTTTTTCATGCAAACGACTTCATGCCATTTATGGCCATGAAAAATTTGTTCAAGCAAAACTGGAAAAGAATGGACAATATGCAAAACGACATCACAACACGCTGAGGAAGCTGCCAGACCTTTTGCCCTTCGAATGTCAATCAAGCTTTGCATGAAAACATTGACGGCACTTAGGTGTGTCAAAGGCATGGCGCATTTGCGCTACCTTATACATACTCCCGGTCTTACGACCACACAAGAAGACTACACGGTTCTCTGCCTTCATTATGTGCAGAGTTTTCCACTTACAATGTTGATGCAACACTGTGCCTTCAGGTGCTGTGATGTCACGGAAAGACACCTTCGGCCTGACCGTCGTCTCCACACCGGAGTCTGTAGCACTGCCTGTCGTGGCATGTTCACTCACGGTAAACTCTTCAACATCACGCACTTCTGTTTTGACTGTGTCAGGTTCAGCATGTGCATCCATGGGCGGCTTTGCAACAGCGCTTGCATCATGTTCAGTAGATTGAGGAAGAGGACCTTCTGTACTCAAACTGGGTAAACCCCTGAGTCTGCCACTACGGGTGTCATTCGGGTTGAAAACCTTTTCACGGATTTCCTTCAGCATGGACTCCAAGACTCGCAAAGGTCTCGAAGCCCCATCACGGGAGTAGACCAGAGCCATTTTCAAACTATGAGTATGGTACCCAAGGCTAAGTCTGTCTTCAAAGGAACATCCTCTCTTTGCTGCAAAGCTCAAACATGTGGCTTTCAAAGAATGAGACGAAAACCTGATCTGTTTGTTTGTCACATCAACACTGAGGAGAGCGCGCATCCAGCTGCCAGCTTCCGTAGAGCTAAGAGGTCGTTCTGTGGGTTCTTGTTCGGCATTCGGTGCAGGCATGAGTGGAAAACTCTTGAGTTCATGTATCCCAAGTTTCCTACGACACTCACACCACTCTGCTCCCCAGTTCCCTGCAACAACTCCTGTACACGGTGCGACCAATGGCAAGTACAAGTGTCTGAGTTGTAAAGCCTTTGCAGTCTTATGAACACCAGTTGCAACTTCTATGTAAGCATGTTCACCGTTTTCATCATGGTCCTCAAGCAGGTGTTCACCATGTTGTGCATCACTCCAGCGTGAGCGTGCATACACGCAGAAAAGCAACATCCCTGCAAAAACTCTGTTCCAAATCTCAGTATCTGTGAAAAGGACATGGTGAAGTACTTCAAGCTGTTTTACTGACAACGGTTCTGCCTGCTGAATTTTGTGGCTGACATCTAAGGCCGCAACTCCTTGGCAACGTCTGCTTAGCGTGAATCCATCAAACTCCAGGACCCCAAGCACATGTCTGCAAAACGTCACTGCCTCTATGAAACCTTTCAGCCTTGAAGGTGGTGCACCGTTCTCACGTTCAACACAAGGAATTCATAAAACTGCGATTCATCACATGGAAATTTCCTGCCACGGTCAATGAAAAAGTTTGTCAACCTCGACATACTCCTGCATCGCTTCATTATGGTGGCAGGTGCACGGTTGTGGAAAATATCAACCAAAACTTGAGCCTGTGCAGAGAAACCAGTACGACTGAAGATCTGTTCAACAATCTGTACGCTCTTCGTCCACACCCCAAGCATTGCATGCCATCTGTGAATTGCAGTTTGCCATTCCGCCTCCCGTTGTTCCTTCCAGGTCATCACTGTAGTTGTACGTACATGATCCATGAAGGTTGCAGCTAACTTGACGGTCTTCTGCTTGCGTGTCAAAGGTTCAGAAACTTCTCCAGCATCAAACTCATGCGTTGGATCAACAGGCCTTTTGAAATTGCTGTCAAAGCTGCAGAGAAAATCTTTGCTTGGATCGAAGAAGTCATTCCAGAATCCAGTCTCCCAGAAATGTTTGATGCCTTCATGTCGTAATTGACTCCTAGCTAAACCAAAAACGTTTGCAGCAGAGTAACCTTCAATGGTCGAAGGCACGTCACACCCAATGGAGGGTTGTGTAATTTCAGAAGGGCTGTATTGCGATTCAGGAACATACTCATCACAAAAGGTCAGTTCTTGTCCAGAAAGGTTTTGTCCAACCCCATAAGCATCTGACAAAAAGTCGACAGTGCCAGAGTTCAAATTTCCAGCCGTGTTGTCACTGGACTGCAGTCCCATCATCTCATCAGCGATGCTCTTTTCCTGCAGCAAACTGTCTCCATGTTCTACTTCCAGAGCGGCATTTTCAAGAGCTGCAAGGTGTCTTGCATTAACCTGTTCTTGGTCTACGGGAAAACCAACAAACGTCCAGTCTCCATCAGACTTAACGACCATTCAGTCGAAGAACCCCATTGCTCTTCACGCTCTGGAAAACACGAATGTTCCCACCTCACCCTCCCTTAAACCAAGATGTTGAGGATACAAACCTCAAATGAGATTTCATGTCCATACATGTATGAGAAAACAGTTCAACATGAAATAAAGAGGACAGGTAAAACACCACCACTCATGGAGTGCGCGTGGTAGTGATCTGCCGACAGAAATTGCAAAACACAGAGCTGCCTTTATTTGAATAAGGTTTGTATCCTCCTTTCAGGAGGAGTCCCAACATCGTAGTCCAACTGCCTCGGCAGTTGGAAAAAATAAACTTGAAGAAAGAAAATGGGAAGGTCGCATGAACCGTTGAAAATCCAAATGCAAAATCAAAAACAACTTGATCAAACACAAACAGAACTTGAATCAATGAATCCAAATTGCACTGATTGCCCAGATGAGCTTGCAGAAACGACGGCCTGCAACTTGGAGCTTGCAGTGTTCTGGCCATCGAACTCAGCCGTGATTCGCTTCTCCAAGTGCTTCTCGATCTCATCCGCCAATGAGCAAGCCAGAGACTCGGGGGTCTCATCTTTCATCTTGTCCAAGCACTCCAGAATCAGGCGATCTTCGAACTGATGAAACAAACTGACAATGGCGGACTTGGAATCTCCAAGATTCTCTTTGTCTAGCAGCCCTTGAAACTTGATCATCAAGTCTTGAGCTTTGGCACTGCGTTGGGCCAGCTCTTTTCCCAGGAGTCTCTTGACATCCAAGGCATGCAAATGCTTGTCGGTAGTGTAGGCCAACGAAAGCAGAGCGTGGCGCAAGTGCAAGAAAGGCTGCTTCCAGTCTTTCGACTGGGCGCTGAGCTGCACAAAAAAGTCCTTGCCCAGACTCTTGTTTGTGCTGGTGTGCCCCTTGATCCTCTTGTCAATGCCATCCATCAAACCTTCGTGGCAAAAATTCTTCAAGAAGGTAAACATGTACGGCGTTGCCTCATGGCACTGCGGTTTGGTCTGGAGGAGCACTTGCTTCTTGATCTGGTTCCACTCAGCATGAGGGTTGGTCTTCATGAGTGACCTCATCCTGGCAAGGATCTGCCATTCACTTTCCCCTTTTGCAATGTGACTGGACACATTGCAGGCGCTCTGTATGAGCTGAGCGATCTTTGGGGAAAAGTCCATCACATCTCGGTGGATCGCCGTCCATTCCAAGCCTGCATGACAGGCATCAAACAGTGCCTTGTCAATGGACTGAATTTTGGACATGCTGATCCGACCGTCCAGCGAGACGAGTTCCTCATCAGAAACGACCTCATGCAGTGCGCACCTCAAAGCCGCATTTGTGTGGCTGCAACTCAGAGATGCGAAGCGCAGCTTGGTGGGGTTGACTGCAGGGAGCAGTCCACCAGAAGATGTCACCAGCCCTTCGTTGAACTGAAGGATGTCGTTGCTGCGCCCAATCTCTGTACAGATTGGGGTGGCCTGACTGGCGTCGAAGCCAACAGCAGCAATGCTGCTCAAGAGACTGTGAACATCTTTGGGACAGATCCCGAAACCATCTCTGTTCTGTGAGTGTACGCCGACCTCATCTGGTTTGAGGCGAACAAGCGTGCTCAGCTGATGCTTTTCCAAGACTGCCATCAGCCTGGCACTTGCCTGCACCACCTGCCCGGCTTGGTCGGCATGGGTCAAGCACTCAGTGATCTCATCCTGAACCAATTTACTCAGGGCCATGCCGCAATTGCCACCTTCACTGTTTTCAACAGGTTGGCGCTCTAGATTTGTTTTTTGATCCAAGACTTGGCAGTATATCGTGCGAGATCTGAGAGCCCTGCACCGCCAAATGATGCGAGCACAGTGTTATGCCCTGCTTAAATTTCATTCAAATCAAGCGGCTGCTTAAACCAAAACAAAAACTTGTAGGTTCCTAGATCCAGACTGTTTCCTTGCATCATGACAAAAAAATCAGCGCTGACCAAACCATGCAAGCAGCGTGCATTCATGTGTCAACCAGTCGCGTTTCACAAATTGTTTGTTCAAAAGCAGGAGCTGCCAAAAACAAATAGGAACATAAGTTTCAAATCGCAAGGTCCCAAATTTGGCTGATCTGCCCGGCCTCGTTACTGAGAATGTGTGAAGCCAGCTTGGCTCAAGAAAATGGTGAGCTGCAGTGTTTTTTCATGGTCAAGCACGCAACCGTTTGGCAACCCAAACATGATCGTGTTACCAAAAGGGACACAAACATTTTGTGTTCCAATCATTGAGAGCACTGTGTCCAAAAAAATGTTGTTGGTTGTTCAAAAACATGTTTCAAAATATTGGTTTAAAAAATGTTTCAAACGACGTGTTTCTTTCTATGCGCTCAAAACGTTTCTCCTGATGAATAATTTTGTTTCTTGAGCCTGTGTTGAAACATGATTGGGCCTACAGGTTGCGACACGATCCTGCAACCTCACGTGTCACCGACTCAACTCAAACGCGCTCAGCGCGAAAAAAACTTCAAAAAAATCTTTGGAAATTGCAAATCGCTGAGCAAAATTATCAAAACAAACAATGCCAAATCACAAAAAAATATCGATCTCACCGCAGTGGCGGCTCCAAAAATGTTGATGCAAATTCAAAAATAACCTACTTATAATCACGGATATTGATGTTTATAAATGGGCTAAGTATACTTAGCTAAGTAGGCTAACCGTGGTTATCCTACTTATGTAAGTAGGATAACTAGGTTATAATTTTTCGAGTTCTACTTATATTTTTTCATAAAAAATTATCCCACTTAGTAATTTGAAATAGTTAGATCAAAAAAATATAAGTAGGATAACCATACTTATGGAGTTATAAATCCGATAACCTTGGTTATAACCATGGTTATGGACTTATAACCATGGTTATAACCATGGTTATCACACATATATGTGGGCTAAATATTTAAAAGTACCTGCGGTCATCCAAGAACTGGATTCCGGTCCACTCAAGGAGATTCCAAAATCTCTACAAACTGAATTGTGCAAAAACGATTCTACCAATCTAGAAACGTGCAAAACCGGTTTCTCGGTTCCTAAAAACCTAAGATTGGTTTCGTGCAGTTTGGTTCTCGTGTGGAATACCCTACAACGTGCAGAAAACCTAAAAACGGCTAACTACAAACGAAAAATGGCAACTCCGTCACAACTCTTGTGAATGAGATGAGATCGATCAACTACATCACAATCACCTGCTAACTACAAAACAAAGCTCAAACTACGCAAGTCCACAAACTACAACTACAAAGCAACTAACAACTACCTAAGTTCAAGCACAAGATCGCTACGCTAGCTATACATAGGATGATTTTTCACACCCCCTTTCGAACTTGTGCGACTCAAATTCAAAACGAATTCAGTCACTCGGCCTTGACATTCCTCATGCCATAGCAGATAGGGCATGCTGACAGCGTCATCTGCTTTGACTTCTCCGTTGTACGGCAACCTGAACAGTGATACTTCGATCCTGTTGAAGTCACAACCAACACGGGTCCAGTCTCCGGTTGGCAAATCTGGCAATTGTCTCGGCATCGAATATGTCCATTTGGACTAGCGGCGGCAATCAAAACCTCGCATTTCTCATTGCAGTGATACATCTCTCGGCAAAAACTCCAATAGATACGATTACCTGGGCCTTCACCGTCAGAGTCACACGACAAAGCTGTAGAACTCTTCATAACTGTACCTGAATTTCTTGCAGTTGTATTGCGGCTTTTGCAACATCTCGTAATGCAGTAAGCTGAAAGAATACCAGATAGAAAACCCAGTGTATATACAAAGAATAAGAGCCAGTAGAGCTCTTCCATCTCTCCAGTGGCCATGGCTTGCGCGACCTGCCCACACACACAAATGGCTGCGGAAATCCAATCAAGCTCAAGCTGAAATCCATTCCAAGCAGTCCACAAGAATTCCAAAGACAGTCCATCAAGGAAAGCCCACAGAAAATCCAAGAAAGTGAAAGATCATCCTCTCGATGTCTTCTAAAGACTTCTGCAACTCTTGCAATTCAAATTGGATTCAGAACTATATCATGCAATCGTCAGACCTCAAAGTCTCGATAATTAGATCCGACTACCCAAGCAACGCACAGGGCAACGATCAAAGAGAGTTTCAGCCTCATGTCTCAGACATTTAAAGACCTTTCTCTATCCAGCTGACTTCACAAGTCTATCAAAACTTCAAGATGACTTCACAAGTCGTTCAAGTTATCCAAAATTTCACAAGTCCACTCATGCAGCAGACTCTTCCTTTTTTCTCAGGGAAGATCAGGCGATAAAATCAGCGTGGCTTCGACGCCATCGATCACCTGAGGGCAAGTAATGCGAGCATCCGCACAAAAAATCTGGCAAACTTCCTGGAGTATTTTTCTGACAACTGAAAGTCAGAAAAGTTGAATGATGCGTGGAAATCACAAGCACAATGAAAACGCTTCTCAAGACGTTGACTAAGCTCCTCAGAACTTGACATGATCCCGAACGCTTTCTTGATGGGTAATCCTGGCAGTCCTTCAATTCCCATTGCACAAGCATGGACAACAGACCTGAATGGAATTCTGGCCTGAACAAAGGCTTGCAGCTTCGGATGAGTCCAGTACCTGTTGGAATTTGGCAATTCAAAAGACATAGACAACTCGGGATGTCTTTCTACTAACCTATCCAACAACTTTTCACAAGCGGCTAGAAGTTCAAAAAACTTTCGCTCATGCTCGGGGACTCTTTTCCCACCCGAAAAATTCTGCAATGGAGATCCACCTGTGCATGGCAATGACATGTGAACGTGACAGAACAAATGTACCTCTCCCAGCTCTCGATCAGAGGCTGATCTGGTCATCTTCAAGTCCTCCATCACCTGGTTCACAAGATCTACAACATGATTCTGTGTAGCTACCTTCTCAAGATTTCCATGAACTCCAACATAACAAGCACGGCTCTCAGCGCATGCAGCTGACAAGACACTGGCTCTGCTGCAGGCTAGCTCAACAAAAAGACCTACCCCCCTTTCACTCTTGAAATGGGTCACATCAGCTTCTGAAGAACTCGAACCTGAAATTGCAGACAAAACACTGGCCGTTGCTCCAACTCGGGCCGCTGCAGTCGCAGTTGCTGCTGACGCTGTCGACGTTGTCAACAACCTAAACAACCTCCGATTTGCTCGCATCGGAAGTTCTCCACTGCCATGACATGCTATGCAGGCTTCCATACGGCGCTGGGGCGGTCTCCCTGATGTCTCAGAAGGCTCTGGCGGGGCCTCACTGGCCGGTGCCTTCGCAACTGGAACTCTTGAAATCATAGACATACTGTACCCCGATGAAGGGGCAATTGTCTCAGCTTCCAATGCTCCTCCTGGGCCAACTCTGAATGGCCTATGGGGCGGCTCACCCACAAGCGACGCTGCTTTCACTTCAGGGCTCTTCGGAGTAACCAAATCCACAGCTGGTGATGCCTTTGCACCGGGGCTCGCCTTAGGCGGTGTGGGCTCTCCAGCTTTCGCCTTTGGAGGCGTCTTGGGTGGCGTCTTTGGCGCACTTGAAACTCTTGCTGGAACTGGTGGTGGCGGTGGTACCTGAGGTGGCGCCGGAGGCGCTGGCGGTGGTGGTAGTGGGCCCTTGGCTGGAGAAGGCTTCACTGGAGGGGCCTTCACAGGGAGCTTGGGTGGTGCAGGCGGTTGTTGTGGCCCTTGCGGAACCCACCCCTTCGGCGGGTGTGCAGGCGGCTTCGGACCCATCGCCACTGCCGCATTGCTGCTGGCCGGAAGCTGGCCGCTTCTCTTCGGTGGCGTCTGAGGGGGACCCATCCCAGTCCTCTGACGGGCTCTCGGAGGGCTACTCCTCGGACCAACCGTGGCCTCTCAGCCTCTTGTTGTGCAACCTCAGTGTCTCCTGGGTCAATCCAACCTCTGAAATTGAATCACCCGGGGCAACCTCATCGCCCACAGTAGAGTCTGGCTGGTGCTGTCCTCGTGGCGTCAGAGTCACACGCCCATGAGTAAGGCTCACCCTTCTCTCCATCTCAGGACACTGAGAGATAATGTGGCCTCTCTGTCCACAATGACCACACTTCAGACCTTTCGGATTCTTCCAGCTGAATCCACTGAAGGACCTTACAAAGGCGGGTCCTTTGTCTTCCTCAGCTTTCGGGTTTCTTGTATCGATCTGCAACTCCTCTCTCTTCTTTTAACTAAGGGTTGTACATCCTTCGGACGACCCTTCTCTGACCTGGCAATCTCGACCCTGTCACAACCTCAAACGTAGGTGTTGGCCTCGATTCCTCTTCTCTCCTCTGTGCAGCGAAGTACTCGAGTGCCTCCTTCTGCCTGTTCTTCCAAGCCTGACGCTTGGCCTTACGATGACCAGCCTCGCGTCGTCTCTTCAGCAAACCAGTGGCCTCCCAGGCCTCTTTCTTCACCTGAATCACAAAACGACCAGGCTTCCTGGGCATCTTCTTCACAGCAGGTTCACGTCCAGGGGCTTGAGACCTTCCTGACGGTCCAGCTTTCTCCACAGGTCTGCCTCGAGCAGGCATGGCTTTCTTCTTGGGTCTCGGCGGCTGAGCTTTCTTTGGAGTGACCTCCACGACGTCCTCAGCTTCGACAACTGCAGCCTCTGCTGCACCAGGTACCGCCTCAGTAGCGGCAGGGGGAGCTGCAGCCTCTGCTGCCTTCGGCACTGCCACAACATCTTCAGCAGCTGACAACACTGCCTCTGCAGATGTCACCACAACAGTCGCAGCTTTGGCTTCACCACCAACGATGGTAACCGTATCATCAGACTCTGGTGCCGCACCGACACCTTCAGCCATTGGATGCCCAAGGAGCGCATGGCTGTCCGGCGCTCTGGGCTCCTCTCGTTCTGCAGGGATACGTCCAGCCATAGCGGAACCGATTCCCTCGCCTTGAAACCTTTCGCAAACAGCTACAAGTGCATTGATCATTTGAGTGCATGAACGTGGAAATGACAGCAATTCACAAGCTGTTGAATTTGCAGGTTCTTCACAAATCAACTCTCCACAAAACATGCAGTTTCTGGTTGAAAACGCACACAAAATACCTGAGAAACTGTTGTCGCAGATTTCAAAATCGAGCAAACAGTCCAAAAGAATACCTTCAAACGACGAAAAACCAAGTACCTCCATGTACTGCAACGCTTTGATCGTCGGCAAACATTTGGTAAAATGGTCAGCGACGTTTCCAGTTCCTCGAACATGCCCAATTTGCAGAATCTCTTTTGCCAAAAGTTCCCTCAACCAGTTCACTTTGATGTCGATATGTCTTGACCTACGCTGGAGGTCGGAACCTTCCAAAAGCATGTTCCCACTCAGGGAGTCGGTCCACAAGAGGATTGGACAGACAACATCCAAACCGTCGTCCTCGGATGAAGACGGTGGATATACCTGAACGCGACGCAGGACAAAACTCAGACTTCTCAGCAAACCAATGGCTTCTTGGACAGCTGCCTGAACGGCAACGAGCTCTGCCTCGCATGAACTCAACGTCACAGATGCCTGATGTCGAGAGAAACACTTCAAGACAACACGTCGGAAAACAATGACACATCCAGTGATGCTTCTCCTCTGAGTAGCTTGCATAGGGGCAAATCCAGCATCACTATAAACTTCCAGGCCGATGTCCTTCTCAGAAAGGTCCTCAAGTCCAGGTGAGGGAAATTTCTGGGACATCTTCATGTGCAACAACATAAATCGAAGCACAGCTCGCAGAGCTTTCTCATGGCCTGGCTTTGGACAAGATTGTCCAGTCGACAGCATTGCAATCAGGATCAAGATATCCTGTCGGGTCTGTGCCAGCCATGACAAACGTCCAAGAACTCTCCTGAACTTGGAGACTTGGAGTGCGCCTCAGCGCTGATAGGCTCTTCTTGCAGTGTCTGCTCCAAAAATGGACGAAGATCAGGAAATGCAGTGGAACCTTTGGAGATTCCATACTCCTCGCACGCACCGTTCAGGTAATCCTGGTCGACAAACAACTGCAAACCTGAGCTTCCCTTCTCTCTGAGGATGGTACGGCCTAGAAACTTCAATGAACCACCAGACATGGTCACTCGGCCAGTCTCTCGGATCTTGACCTGCTTCTCAAGAGCTTCAAACAGAACACGATACGCAGCCTCGCTGGGCGTGGCAACCAACAGGTCATCCACATAACAGATGACAAGGATGGGGGCACCTCGTACCATCCCACCGTACAAGCATGGCTCCACAAGTCCAGATCGGATGCCAACGCTTTTGACAATCCCATCAAAGAACAGAACCCAAGTCAAACTTGCGATACGAAGTCCATTCAAACCCTTGTAAGCCTCAAGAAAAACCGGTTCATTGTCAAGTGTGCTGATTGATGATGGAAGCCGGACACAAACCTTCACAGCGAGCGGTGAATTCATGAACGCCTGACTGACGTCAATTGCATAAAGGTTGAAACCTTTTCCACCAGTCCACATACCCGTTGCCGCTCCCAACAGAAGTCGTAGCGACTCAATCGAGGGTGTGGGGGAAGAAATACCTTCCTGTCTGGCAGTCTTCTGACCTTTAGCAAAATCTTTCACGACTATCCGAGCACGAACTCCTTCGTCGGCTTCAGGCTTACTGTTCGTAACCCACCTGCAGGAGATAACTTTGATGCTGTGCTTCTTGCAAAACTGCAAGGCTTCCTTCTCCTTCATGATACGACCTGCACTCACATGAGTCAATCCCTTGAGCTCTTTGACCATCGCAAGGAAAGTTCCTTGGGGGTCCAGTTCTTCAAGAGTGGTATCCGAAACAGCTCCTGTTGGCTTCCACAATCGAACCTTGGATCCACATCGCTCAACAACTTCAGAGTCATGAGCTCCACCCGAAAAACTGATAGACTCAACAGAGAACCGCTCCTCGGAGAGCAGATCGGGAGAAGTCAAACATCCAATCCTGACTCTCTCAGAGCAAAGACACACATCGATCATCGGGATCGTCTGTGGCTGTTCAACTTCCATCTCAACATCTTCGGATTGAAATTCTGGAGCGTCTCGCTCCGAAAAGGATGCAGCCTCAGCTGGTGCAGAACTCGCCTCAAGTGGTAAGTCCATGCCCACATCGGCAAGATCAGCATGTTCGGGACCCAGAGATGGTGAGTAGGGGACGTCTCCACCTTCACCTGTTTGCTCCAAAGCTTGCTCCACATCCTCAAGCGACGGCTTGATAGGGATAGACAAGAACTCACCTTGCCTCTTCTTGGCGGATCAGACACAAGACGCGGTACCGTGCCAACCCTACAACGCGCCGCCAAATGAAACACCACAACACAAGCAAATCACTGAACATCACAAGTAACTGAAATGAAGTTGAACATCAGTGGACATGTAACTGTAAATCACTGACAAAGCAACTGTGTGAGATCAAACGCGGTCAGTTCCTCCCTTTTTGTCAATGGTGGTGAGATCTCACACACAATCCTCTCAGAGGAGTGTCCAAAAGTTGGTCGGGCACATGTCGTATTGTAGTGCACACAGCACCTGTCCACATCCAGACGCAAGTGGGAGTTGGAAAACTCCTGTAAACTGTTGTTGCAAAACTGTTGCACTGCAGGACCCATTGAACTCCAAAAGAAAATCCCCCGTCAGAGGTTGTGTGCGAGGAACGGCCACAACCCATCCTGAAACAGAAAATCAGGGATGGGAGGGCGGGACCTCATCTGAAAAGAGCCAGAGCTCCACATCCAATATATTGTAACCAGCTGAGTTGATGATAAGTTGAACCAGCAAAGACATCATGAGCAAGACTCGAAGCAACCGAAGTCAGATCACCTTACCTGCCTTGCATTCCAGAACTTCTGAATCAAGCGGTGACATGAAGTTGAGACAGTGTTCCAAACCTAAATAAGCAAGCAATCACAGCACTGAAAATACATCTGCCAGAAAGAAAACTTCGGAAATCGTCCAATGAGACTCAAGCCACAGATTGTTCGTTTGTTCAGCAAACTGAAACAATGACAGCAAACAAAAAGAACTTCCAAGTTTCTGTTGTACAGCAAGCATCGTTACAACCGACATGAACTCAATGCACCAAGATATAATCCAGAGACAAGCGGCATAGTGATCCCCACCCTCCCACCCTACTATTACTTAGTTTCACATAGACACACTGGGCAAGCCCAGTGATGCCTACGCTACACGAAATAATAGTAAAGTAAAAGGGGGGACCAATTCAGTGGAAACTTACGCGGTACCGTCGCGAAGCGCCAACCCAACAACGCGCCGCCAAATGAAACACCACAACACAAGCAAATCACTGAACATCACAAGTAACTGAAATGAAGTTGAACATCAGTGGACATGTAACTGTAAATCACTGACAAAGCAACTGTGTGAGATCAAACGCGGTCAGTTCCTCCCTTTTTGTCAATGGTGGTGAGATCTCACACACAATCCTCTCAGAGGAGTGTCCAAAAGTTGGTCGGGCACATGTCGTATTGTAGTGCACACAGCACCTGTCCACATCCAGACGCAAGTGGGAGTTGGAAAACTCCTGTAAACTGTTGTTGCAAAACTGTTGCACTGCAGGACCCATTGAACTCCAAAAGAAAATCCCCCGTCAGAGGTTGTGTGCGAGGAACGGCCACAACCCATCCTGAAACAGAAAATCAGGGATGGGAGGGCGGGACCTCATCTGAAAAGAGCCAGAGCTCCACATCCAATATATTGTAACCAGCTGAGTTGATGATAAGTTGAACCAGCAAAGACATCATGAGCAAGACTCGAAGCAACCGAAGTCAGATCACCTTACCTGCCTTGCATTCCAGAACTTCTGAATCAAGCGGTGACATGAAGTTGAGACAGTGTTCCAAACCTAAATAAGCAAGCAATCACAGCACTGAAAATACATCTGCCAGAAAGAAAACTTCGGAAATCGTCCAATGAGACTCAAGCCACAGATTGTTCGTTTGTTCAGCAAACTGAAACAATGACAGCAAACAAAAAGAACTTCCAAGTTTCTGTTGTACAGCAAGCATCGTTACAACCGACATGAACTCAACGCACCAAGATATAATCCAGAGACAAGCGGCATAGTGATCCCCACCCTCCCACCCTACTATTACTTAGTTTCACATAGACACACTGGGCAAGCACAGTGATGCCTACGCTACACTAAATAATAGTAAAGTAAAAGGGGGGACCAATTCAGTGGAAACTTACGCGGTACCGTCGCGAAGCGCCAACCCAACAACGCGCCGCCAAATGAAACACCACAACACAAGCAAATCACTGAACATCACAAGTAACTGAAATGAAGTTGAACATCAGTGGACATGTAACTGTAAATCACTGACAAAGCAACTGTGTGAGATCAAACGCGGTCAGTTCCTCCCTTTTTGTCAATGGTGGTGAGATCTCACACACAATCCTCTCAGAGGAGTGTCCAAAAGTTGGTCGGGCACATGTCGTATTGTAGTGCACACAGCACCTGTCCACATCCAGACGCAAGTGGGAGTTGGAAAACTCCTGTAAACTGTTGTTGCAAAACTGTTGCACTGCAGGACCCATTGAACTCCAAAAGAAAATCCCCTACATCAGTGGAGGAGATGGGGCCTCAACCCCCAAGCATAGTTCACCAAGGTGATTTGTCAAATTTCTTCGGCTTGACCTTGGGTGCCTGCTTTGCTTCTGCTTTCGCCTGTTGTCTGGCCTGATCAAAGGCCTCCCTAGTCCTCACCATGTCCTCCAGAACATCGAACCGCAAGTCGGCCCAAGAAACTGCAATCCTGTGATCCATGCTAAACCCAGTGAAGTCTTCATTTGTAAGTTGGTCCGCCTCTTTGTTTTCATCTCTGGGCCTCCATCTAAGCCCTAAACTCAACCTTGAACGTGACAACATGGATGACAGCTGCATGTTGATCCCCATGAGAGGCCATTTGGTGGTTGACCGCTTTTCTGATAACGACTCGTTTGCCCTGTTGTCTGTTCCGCCAAACAAAGACACTTCCAATGCCTTCCGACCCCCACTCGTGTCAAACCATCCAAACAATTGCAACGCCACCAGCGTGGCTAAGAGTTCCGCTGATGTAGAAGCCCACTGGGCGCCCATGCCAGGTTTAAATAGATAGGGGGCATCTGCTGGTCCCCCTTTCAACGCAAACCACCGCTTGGAGGAAAGTTCCCAACCAGCCAAAACAATGTATGTGTCGGTGCACTTCGCATCTGTTCGAAACTGATCACCCTGAAAACAAACTGGCCTCCGAGCCGACACAAGAAACGTCTCCCTCGTAAACTCCTTGGAGATGTAGAGCAATGTAAGTATCACAGTGTCAGGCAATCGGCACACTGTGCCCGCTGCTGTGACTGCAGACCAGGAGAAGAGGGGAGCAAGGTGAGGCTTAAGCCAAATAAGCAACTGAGAAATGAAACCCAATCTCCCCAAGAACTCCGTAAACTCCCTGGCTTGTACTACAAACTTGTTCTGCTCTGCCTTGCTGATCCATTGAACAATCCAGTCGCCACGCTTGAAAGAAATCCCCACCTCTGTCTTGTCGTACCGAATTTGAAAGCCAACAAATTCAGAAGCAAAGCCCCCTTTAAATTTATGATACCCAAAAGGGGTGCCAGCCATTTCGTATGCCAGTAACCACACCCATAAATGGAGGAACTTCCTCTCACCAGTAAAAACTCCATGTAAATCATCAACATAAATCATGTGCATGAACCAGCGCTGATGAAACATGTATCCAATGAATCGGCCCAGGAGTCCGGCCAACTTGAACCACCAGTAGGGAGCGCTTGAAATCCCAAATGTTCCTGTCTTGTTGACCCATACTGTATCTGAACCTGAATCTGCTTTGCAACACATGTAGCCCCAATCCTTCCTCCTCACCTTAACCAATCGGTGGGCTGCTCGAATATCTGCACTCACGCAAAACGGGGCATCTTTCGTTTCTGAAGTTTCCCTGACAATGGATGCAATCTCAGCTGGGCCCGGGCAATCGATCTTGTCCTGGTACTTGATAGAATGGTTCACCATAACAGAATGCGTTGCATCATGTAAAGGACGAACACTGCCGTCCGGCTTCTGGATCGCAGCCATAGCGGCAATTCTTAGGTCGCTCCCATACTCCTGCTGTAGCACCCCAACCTTCGAAGGGAACATCCGGCCCAGGGATTCTTCCTCTCGAAACTTATCTTCCAGCTCTTTGGATGACATCTGAGCAGAGGGATAGTTCTGTGCAATGGCCGCAAACTCTGTGTCGTCCAAGCGCCTGTGTTTCAGCTTTTGGTGGCAAACTTGAACAGATCTGGGAAGGGGCTTTTCGACTCCAAGGCAAACACCAGTAGCAAAAGAATCCTCTTCGTCAACCAGCCACTTTGCGTCAGGGTCTTCGAAGACCTTCAGCCATTGTGCCATCGCCCGCAAAAAGAAAGGTTGTCCAACATCTCTGATCGATGCCTCCTGCTGGTCAGGAAGCAAAGAAAACCACTTGTTCCTCAATCGCTCAAGGGTTTCTTCAGAAAAGGGTGAATGCTCCAATTTTCCAGTGACCAGCCTGAAGGCCTCTTTGCGTACATCAGGGATGGTTGCCTTCACAGTTTCCACCAATAATTCAAAGGTCTGATTTGCCAACTTCACCATACCATCACTTCTATGTGTTCCCCTGTGGGACGGCCTCCATCTGGCCGGGCTGCAGAGTCCAAACCCATCTATGAAGTCTCTGTGATACCTGTCCCATTCGACCACAATCGGTCTACCAGTATTCCTGCATGCTCCCAAGTCAAACTGTGTCTCACCCTCAACATCCGGGTCATCGCAGCCCATCTGTCCTTGCTCCTGTGATTCCTCCCCCACATGTTGATCGCGTTTGTTGTGACTGTTGTTGCAAGCCGCCACGACCTCCAGGTCAGTGTCTGCTGCTGTCCTGTCTGCTGCTGTCCTGTGTACCCCCAGACTCTGGTCATCACTGGACTCTACATCAATTGCTTGCTCCGCTGAACCTGCTGTGTCTTTGGCTCTCTTGGGAAGAGGTTGTAATGATGTGTGACCAGTGAACGTTTGTTGCCTCTTCCTTGAACCAGATTTGTCCTTAACCCCCCTTCCGCAGGATGCGCTAGCATTGAGGATCAAATCGGCCAAAAACTGACATAGTTTTGGGGGGTAGGCAGCGCTAGGGCTGGTGTTCCATTGAGCTGCTGTCCTCCCAATCAGCTTATGGGTATGAACATGGCCACATTGTTTGGGCAATGGCCCCTTGTAAAGACCAAGCTTGTCAAACTTTGGCAATGCTTTGTAACACCTTTTATCGTCGACTGCCATGTTCGTCATGAAGCGTGTTGGTTTGGGCGTTGGTGCCCCAAATTTGCACTGGTGGACAGCAAACGATGTAGCCTTACAGTCAGTGATTAGCGCCAGCACATCGGCCCACTGCCAAATGGAACCTGGCTGCTCTCCCTCAACTGTCCCCAAGTCCTCCGGATGCTCCAAAATAAAACATCCACCTGTATCAGAAACAACGTGGCACGCCCTAATGCATCGCTCAAAAAAAGTGTTTGCCTCCTCGACTTTGGCCTTGTTTGAAGCGCTCAGCCAGGGGAATCCACGCGGCCACATGCGCGTCCTGAGAGGCTTTGGCCCAGGATGCTGTCTGAACTGAAACCGTGCCCTACTGAATGTATTGCAAGGTGGTGATACGATCAAAAACCAATTGCCCTCTCCGAGGGTTTTGTAGATCTTGTCCCATAGGGATGTATCCGTGAGGTCATGGCTTGGGGACCTCTCGATGTCAAATTCATGCAACTCAAGTCGAATCTTTCCATCCATTTCAGCTTTCCTCAAGAATGCCGCAACGTCAGAATGTCGACGCTTCCCAGCAAAAAGGTAAGCCACCTTAACCAGTGGCAACTCATCACACGCAGCCCTGCTGGGTAGGGCGGCGATAGCGTCCTGTCAGGACGTACTCTGGCTCTTGGAATGGTCAACAGCCTTGTGTGTGCCGTAGCAACCTTTAACTCGGCACTGATGGACCCGGCCACAAGAACCATCACATTCACCATTGTTCCATTGAAAACACAATTCACGACCATCCGGTGTTCTCCATGCAAGGTTCAACCCTTTGAGACGTGAATCCATCGTCTTCCCCTTTGATTTGCCCTTTGAAAATTTTCCTTTTCCTTTGGAGAAACCTTGTGATTGCTTCCCAGAGAAACCACCCTTGCTATTGAACCGCTGCCATTTGTGAGGCTGCTGCTGGGTCTCCGACATGGCCGACTTGAGGGCAACCGGCGTCGTGAAGTAGGCTTCTTTCAAATCAGGGTCACGAATCACCGCAAGGAGGGAATCAGCAAGGGTGTAACCCTCCAAAACTCGTTTCATGGCCTCCTTCCTCAACTTGTGTTCGTATGCAAGAACTATTGACCAATCAGGTTTCACCTTCGTTTGACCAGTGGTGTCTGAGGAAGAGGTGGGAATCTGGATTCCGAAAACACGATCACCCAAAATGTACTCTGTAAACTTCTGAAACGGTTCAGCCGTGAGCCCATGCAACCAATGCTTTGCACGATACCTGGAAGCCATGCAGAGCCAGGCATATGTTTCGACCTTCATGATCTTCCTGAACTCTTCTGTCGTGGTTGGCATCTTACCCTTGGTTTTCGTCCTTGTGACTCTGATGTGCCCTGAAGAATCCACTGCTGACTGTATCTGAGAATTCGATGAAGCATGTTTCGAAAGAATCTCATCTAAGGATGCCGCTGATGGCTCATTGCACTCCGTCTCCTCAGCCTTGATCGACAGGTAGTCTGAAGAAGGGCATTCCTGATCGCCCAAATCACCGTGGATTGCTTCGACTGCCCTTAACATTGCTTGTCTTTCGTGAATTTGCAAGACCCTGGGTTGACCTAAAACTTTGGCCTCTGCTTTAAGTTCGACTTCCTTTGCAAGGTATTCCTTTGCAGTTTCCCAAGCAGCGACAATTGAAGCGATCTGCGACCGATGTTCTGGTGTGTCCTGTGGAATTGCAAAGTCTTGCGCACAGGCAGTCCTGATAGCTGGACGGTCATCGCCCAAAGCACTAAACTTCCTGAGATTCCCGTAATGACGGGCGATTCCAACCTGATGCTCAAGACTCACTCCAGCTTCACCTAAAATGAACTGTAAATCAGAGTCCATGTTTGTCTGCACAAATTGTCTCTGGGCAACTGGGTCCATGGCTCAGCAAATGTGGTCAGTTAAGGCCACGACGCGTGTGAAAGAAATGAACACAACAGAAAACCGAAAGCCCAATGCCTAAAACCTGGCAACGGGGTCTGTTCAATTAATGCCCTGGCCACAAACCTGGCATTGGGGTCACTGGGGACTAACACAACAGATGAATCCACAACCAAAGCTTTTGAACGGAACATCCCAAGATGGTTCCAATAAATCTGATTGAGATCTGTCTGATGGCACCCTGAGGTCTGAGCCATCGCAACAAAGAAAGAGAAATGCATGTCCAAACATGCATCCCCACAACTCTCAGCGTCCAAACGCATGTTTTCCCTTCAAACCGATGTTGTCTCACACAAATGATCAAAATTCACCAATCAACTGCCAAGATGATCAATCCATGTGCCAACGTGACATCAAGTGAAAATGACAAATGACCTTGGAACCTAAGGAGCCTAACCAAGAAACCGAAAAGACAACCTACAACACAACGACTGATGACATCCGGTGAATCACCCAACACTGTTTTCTTGGAGAACGGACCACTCCGCTCACATGGGCACTTCGCCCTGATCATCCCCGGAGGCAGTTGAGGAGGATGATGCCGTGGAGGATGACTGATCATCCACTTCTTTGCCACATTCAGACAACATACGTTTCTTGCAACCCTGGCAAACTGTGTCAAAGTCATCTGTGCTGACTTGATCCAAGTAAACGACCTCACAACATCTGTCTGGTTTGACAAAGCAACCACTGAGGTGCAAACGCCTCAGACACGTTCTCCTGGAGATGGTCACAAAGTACTTCGAGGTCTCTGGCTGGCAGAGGGATTCCTTCTGCACCAACGTTGACACCTTTTCAGACAACGCTGCATCCCCCTCTGCTTCATCCATGACGTTCGGCCAATCACCTTCAGCGATTTCCAGTGTAGGGTAAATGCCCCCAAGAGAATGATTCCCTGACCAGTCTCCCAACACCGTGTTCCTCTTCCGAATCCTGTTCGGATTGGCCCCAGCGCTCTCAGCGGCATCGCAAAGCTTCTGGATGGCCTCGTCCTCATAGTAAGGCTCTGGCAATCCCTCAACCAAGCACCGGTTGACAGCCCTCTGGATTTTGAAGACCACTTGTCTTGCAGTCCTCACATACTCCTCAGAGGAGACCATCCCCATCGACCACCTGCCCAAATAGGCCCGCTCATCTCGTGAGAAGCCAATCACCGCTGCAATGGATGTCAGGAAATTCCTGGCACTGTGACCTGAAAAGAAGGCCTCCAAGCCGTCCGGCAGCAGGAGCACATGGGGCATCAATTCCCAACCAAGCCCTGACCTGCGAGGACACGACAGCCTCCCAAGGAGCTTGCTGATCAGCGAGCTCAGTCCAGCAGGCGTCACAAACTTGCGCCGCACCTTATCCCATTCCTTGGAGGGCTCCATCACGAAGTAGTCCCGCTGGAAACTGAACTCCTCAGTCTCCCAGATATCGAAACCAGACCGCAACCAGTCTTCGCCAGTCAGTGAGGTGGTCCTGAACACATGGACAGCTACCTCCTTTTGCACCTTGTCAGGCCCTGTCGTTTTCGACTTCCCAAGAATGAGCTTCAGCCCGTAGTTGGACAAGAAGGAGCGCCTTGGGATGACTGCCTGGACATCGTCACAACGCATGGCGCCCCAGATCATCACAAGCAAGACCCAAGAAAGCGCCCTTGCAAAAATGGGCTCCGCCTCGTCCATCACCGTCAACTCCAATGCAACCACAATTGCAACTGTGTACATTTCAGCTGGCCTCCGCGGTGCAGCATCCTCTGATAGCTCTGCACTCCATGACTTGATGTGCCCTTTCCACAAAGGGTCCTCACTGATCCTCAAAGCATCTGGGACCCTACCCAACTGCTCAAGCATCCCCAGAGCAATGCTAAAGGACTCAGGGACCGTTCTGCCGCATCCATCGTCCACCCGATGCTGCATGTAATCGATTGCATCCTTGACAGACTTCGGGAACAAATATCCCCTGTGAAGTTCAAGCCACTTCTCAAACGGCTTCCACACCTTGTACCGCGACTTCAGCGTGTTTGCACGCCTTGCTGCAAAGATGTGGACCCAAGCTGCATTCGGGTCATCCAAAGCCTTTACCAATGCCACCACAGGCAAGTCAGCAGAAATCAACACCTGCGCTAAAAGCAAGGAGTACTTCCTCCTCTCAGACTCAAACTTCCGTGCACGGACATCAGGTGGATCCTCTTTGTATTTCCGCTGTCTTCTCTTTGCATGCATTTCCAAAATACATTGAACACTTGTCTTTGTCAAGCGCTGAAACTCATCTTGAACATTCAGCAAATGCGGTTGAGGCAATACACAAAAAGCTGCATTGACAACACCTTTCCGATGCCTCTTGAGTGGCCTAGCACTTTCAAATTTCCAATTCATCAAAATTGCAACATTGTCGCGCAAATCCTCCCCAACCATGTGTGGGAATTCACTCTCCAAAAGCTCCTGACACCCGTCATCGTCGTCATAGGCTGCATCCAAGCGCCATGGATCCTTGAAGACCCGCTGGAAAAATGCCAGGACTCCCTCTTCAACTCTAGGCCACTCAACATCCATAAGGAACCATGGAACTACGTCCAATTGCAAATTGGAAGGTGTAAACGCCCCAACCTACCTCATCTGAAAAGAGCCAGAGCTCCACATCCAATATATTGTAACCAGCTGAGTTGATGATAAGTTGAACCAGCAAAGACATCATGAGCAAGACTCGAAGCAACCGAAGTCAGATCACCTTACCTGCCTTGCATTCCAGAACTTCTGAATCAAGCGGTGACATGAAGTTGAGACAGTGTTCCAAACCAAAATAAGCAAGCAATCACAGCACTGAAAATACATCTGCCAGAAAGAAAACTTCGGAAATCGTCCAATGAGACTCAAGCCACAGATTGTTCGTTTGTTCAGCAAACTGAAACAAAGACAGCAAACAAAAAGAACTTCCAAGTTTCTGTTGTACAGCAAGCATCGTTACAACCGACATGAACTCAATGCACCAAGATATAATCCAGAGACAAGCGGCATAGTGATCCCCACCCTCCCACCCTACTATTACTTAGTTTCACATAGACACACTGGGCAAGCCCAGTGATGCATCTTTGGTAGTGGCTGTGATGGTACTGGTACCGCCACTTCTTGGTCATTGGGCTCGGCAAGTGGGAGTTGTTTCTCGGGCACAACGGCTTCTTTGGATCTCTGGTTCCGAAGCCATGTCCAATAGCGCTCACAGCACTTCTTGGAGTGTCGACCTTGACGAGTAGCACAAGAACTACAACCTTCGGTCCGTCCATGGGCATCAATCCAATGCCGCGAAGGTTGCACCTTGTCGGGCAGACGTGCAAAGTCCTCTGGAACGATCTCAATCGGTTCCTGGTCCAAAATGGCGGGTGCAGGTCCAGCAGAGTCCACTGCACGCAAGAACCTTCCAACCAATTCCAGAGGATACACAATTGGAAAAACGAGCTTCAGGCTCTTCGCTTGGAAAAATTTCAGTTCACCTTCAATTGACACAACTACAAAGTGTGCAAACGAGTCCCTCACAGGATACAGGTATCCAGCAGTCACGGACCTTCCGATGCTGTTCACACTGTCAGGTGTCTCCGCAAGAACCCTAGAACAGAACATCGCTGTGACAGCATTCTTCTGATCAACCTGGTTTCTCAGGACCTCTCGTCCACTCAATCCTGTGCCATCCAACTTCGAATGCAAGTTGTGCATCGCAATCACGTACCTTGAACTGGCTTCCCAGCCAACCAAACTGTTGACCACGTCAACACCTGCTTTCCCCAATTCGAGTCTCAGTACCGCAAGACCTTCTTTCAGCTCACGGACTCCACGCTCCACTGAACCAACAGTATCATGGTTCTGGGGACCTGCTTTGCTGACGGTAAATTCTCTTGGAATACCAGCTCTTCTCAACGTCGTCCCGAGTTCATCGGACGCATCTGACCTGAAATCAATCGGCTTTGGATCTCCAGACAACAGTCCAAACTCTGCCAAGATCTGGCGGACATGTTGGCCGGTGGTGTCAAGATTCTCGCTCACAGCGCAGACACCCAACAAACCACTGAAACAGTGACGAAACAACAAAAACTTGTACTGCGATCCAACTGTTCCCAAGAACATGAAGTCAACCTGTACCTCAAGCAAGCGCTCTTTCAAATCTCGCCTGGGTGCTCTGGAAACACCACGGCCCTGTTGACATTCCAAACAATGAGGGTCATACGGATAATGGCCTCTCAAGATGTGTTGACGCAGTCTCTCCTGGGTTGACAACTCAACCGCACCTACCATACCAACAGTCAAGCCTTGCCCGGTCCTCACTGACTCCATTGGCACATCAACTTCCATCGGCATGTAGGTATCCTTCACAGCAGGAACCTGAGATGTTGTCTTCTTGGCTCTCAGCCAGGGACATCCTCCCCACAACACCACATCAGTAATCACGGTATTCGACTCTTCATGCCAAAGATAGGTTTCACCTGGCGACTGAACAACTGTCCATCCACGCTTCACAAGCTGGGTTGTGCTCACAATGTGGCTGGTGGAGCCTACGCAGCACTTCAAACGAAAGTTCTGAGACTTCTTGGAACCAGATCCCGTCTCAAACGCAACTGTCACCTGAACTTCACCTCTCATGGTGACTGCAGACCCATTGGCTGCATAGTAGGTGTCCATCACCTGCTCTTCTGCGCTGCACTTGTAGTAGGCCTTGAACTGCTCAGGCAACACTGAGACAGCTGCTCCACTGTCAATCAACCACCATCGCCACTCATCATCCGAATGTTCAACTGAAGAAATCAATGGCATCAGCACCTCACCTTGTGCTGGAGCAGCTTCCTGCCCACTCTCCTCTGCCAACTCGTGCATCTTTCCCTTACCTTTGCTCTTTCCAGCTTTCGGCTGGGGCTTCTTCTGCTGCTTTCCCTTGTCACCTTTGGGCTTGTCAGGACATTGTGCCCCAAT